TTGCTGTCTGATTCTGTTAGTTCACCTCACCTCCTAAACCGATACATTCATTCCTTTTGCAACTTCATATTTATCAGGTTTGTTCTCCTCCTCTCGTGTCTCGATACGTTAGCTGTCGACTCGTCAGTGTCTGACTCTGATCTGTCTGCTGGGCCGTGCCGTGTGTGATAAAAAGGACCGGAAAGAGTAATGATTAGTTCATATTTCGAGTGTCGAGTTCGGGTTCGGCCGCGTCCGAGTCTTTCGTTCTTCCTGTCAGTCCCATAGACTAGAGAGGCTATGCTGTCAGTAACGTTACCGGAAAGAGAAATGATTAGTTCATCTCTTGAGTCTTCGGGTATGATTCGTTCTTTTGTCACTTGACCGCTGGTATCTCGCATGAAATACATTAGTTTCGTATTGACTGCGTCTGAATGTATATTGTTTTATATTTATAGGCATTATAACTTTTCTATATTGTGCATCTGTGGTGTGTTTTATTATATATTATACATGAATTAACTACTATTACAGTATATTATACATTATCTACGTGCTTGTTTGTAAAAAGTTTAGGGAATATCAGTATGGAGGGAGGGGAGTATGAGCTTGTGGCCCCACCCAGTGGAGTTAATACGTCACAACTCCAGTCTATTTTAGCCAGCATTTTAGCGTCTGCTACTGATTCACAGCCATTTGAATGTAGAAATACTCAGAAATGCAACTTCGAGCTTATTTTTCTCAAGAAACGCCCTCTAACATTAGAAAAATGACACAAGAACATGTTAACACCTAGAAATATTTATATTTTCTTAGCCTTTTACCGCCTCCCAAAGTATCCTAGAATTGAGAACAGAGCCGATATTAAATGTTGGGGGGCGCTAAAATTGTTGCTGCATAACCCTCTGAAACTGGGTAGTTGCGCCCCTGACCGGAATGTAATGCGCATTTTGAATATTTTGAAAAAAATCTTTTGAGGCAAAGATAAAATCTAACCTCGAGAAGGATTTATGTCTCGCTGAATAAAATGAGAAATTTTTAGAGAAGGGTTTAACGAACGCCAAATATCAACCATGCCTGTATCAGATGCCCATTGGCACAATACCTCAGATGCAAGACGTTGGTCCCTAGTTTCGCTGCTACCTGTTCTGTCCACACCTGTTCTGTCCATGCCGCTGTCCCACACATTGAAGTCCGCCCCAAGAACTAGATGGAACCCTGAGAGATCGAGCAGAGATTTTGTTAAAAGTTGGGAAAAAAGTGGGATCAAATGCATTAGGGGCATAAGCAGAAATAAGTGCAATGTTTTTCCCATCCATGCAAATCCTTGCAATGGCTATCTGACCTGCATCATCCGCCCAAGAGTCAATCACATCAAATTTTAATTTGCGTTTACACAAAATCATTACCCCTTTACATTTTGTAGCTGCAGATGAAGTTGCAATAGGGTGATAAAACTTATTGGCTAATCGACCCACATTTTTGCGCAGCAAGTGTGACTCCTGAATCATAGCAAAATCTATATTCCGGAGAAATTCTAGTACAGTGGTCCTTTTGTGTGGAATGTTAAGACCCCTGGTCTTAAAGCGGCGATGAAGACGTTTAAAATACGTTTAAAACATCAGTACTTATCCACAAGTTTCCTACGCCCCATGAGGCCTTGCGTCAAAAGTGGGCGCGACTTCCGGTTTGAAGTAAACAAAGCGCTACTTGACATGCTTGACACTCGTTCATTCAACAGTTGACAGTCATTCAAGTTATAGCGATCCAAACTAGCTAACGATGTGGGAACACAACCTCAACGAAATTAAAAAAGGGTGAAATAACAGTGCCTTTACCCTCCGCAGTAGTTGATTGGGAGTATTATAATAACATTATTAATAATCAATACTCATCAAGGCATGTTGACAGACAGTTGTGCGAGCTGACAAACAATTAAAATAAAAAATACACACTTAGTCATTGTGCTTTGGAGTTTATTCAAAATTATAAATGAATGTGCTACTTGAATACATTAACTGGCACATTTGGTATTCTGTCAACACAGGCTTTGATCCTGAGTTTAGGTGTAACATCAGTAGTGAACAGCCAAACACATGCTGATAGAGTTTATAGAATATTAAGAATTTAAACAAATGTACACAGGAAGATTCGTTGTCTTTTGGGAGGTGATGGAAACTACAGTCGTTGGTAGGATCACTGTGATTTCGTTTTCAGCTTATGTTCAAAACAATCACGTTTAATCAGTACTTTAATCAGTTTAATCAGTATTTACGTTTAAGCCACTGAATTAGTTTAGTCCGGTTATACATACAACCGCGAACAGCGCATGTTGTCCCTGAGCTCCGTAAGGACATCTCTCATAAAGATTGGCGTCTTTAAATAGTAAAATAATTCTCCGAAAAACAGCTAGCCTCTTCGCTAACTAACACACAAAATACCATTGGAATGCTACTTCCGCCGCCTCACCGGAAGTTTCACCCACTTTATTTTTTACATGAGCGCCCCTCGGAAACTTGTGGATAAAAAAATTCAGGTCCATAATGTTTGTACGCGTTTGTCATAGACACAATAGCATTACTAGTAGCCTATAGTGGCTATAAAGCCAGCGCTGGCATTTGAAAAAAATAAAACACAAGGCTACGCCTGGAAATATTCATGAAAATACATTTAAAATGATTAAGTCTTAGCCTACTTACAGGTTGTGGCCCAACAACTGCTGCCTCTGGTTTTAAAGTTGAAACTGCTTCACATTTTTCTTTTTAAATCCGTTGTTGAACTCGTGGAGATTCTGGAAGCTGTCTTCCGTAAAAATACGCAGCACAGAGAGCTAGATTACGATCGTCATTTTCAGGAACATAATCAAACATAAATTGTATCCATTGTTGACGAAGTACAGCGTCTGTGGGAAGTTCGAATACAGAAGACCTGACAGCTGGATGAACAACTCACTCGACGAGCTGGAGCTGCTGAAATATGCGCATGTCCTTTTCTGCATATTCCGGAGGGAGGGTTGATGCAAATGTGTGGGTTAGTGACGTACCATAACCCAGCTGTAGTCCCAATCGAGTCGTTTTTGTAGGCAATTATACTTCCTGATTTTAAAAAGACGATATCTCTGCTTACATTGAACTTTCAGCGCTGCAACTTTGCAGATACTGTTCATGCACCAACAGCAACATTACACAGTATTTAAAATGAAAAAAGTGAAATCGCAGTCAACCCCCCCTTTAAAATGTCTGCCTTTATATAGCAACGAGATATATCCTTACTGACCCAGCACTCGTGGAAACGCCTCACCCAACATCCAGCCTACATGAACTGCAAGCCAGGCAGAGATGAAAGACTACCTGTTAATAATCTACCCACAGTCTACAAAAAAATAGATAAAAATAAAATACCTGATGATAATAATTAAAAAAAAAACAAATGATAATACCTGATGATAATAATTTTAAAAACAACAAATGCACCAATAGAACACCACTAAGGACGATAAGATGAACATAGAATAGTAGACCTATGCAATTAAGTAAATTACAGGTAGTGATACAAGCCAGAGCAAAAAAAAAAAAAAAAAAGATATTAAAAATAAACGTCTCCAACATCCAGTAATATAAAACCGAAACGCTAATTTAAATGATTATTAGAGGGGGAGAAGGAGAATGGAGCATAGATTACATTATCTTACCCACTCATCAGAGTCACTCTGCCAGCAAAAAAAACACAAAAAAAAAAAACACATTGGGAAGCCGTACATGACCGCGGAAGGGCGTAAACAATCAAAGGTTTTTAATGCATATCAATGCCTTTTTGGGATCTTCAAAACGACGCTTTACTCCACCAGACGTTGTGAATGAAAGCACTGCAGGATAGCCGATGCCCAACGGGATCTTGGCTGAGTGAAGCAAATGAGTGTCGGCGCTCCTGTGTGGCTTTAGAAAAGTCCCGATTTCTCTTGCAAGTTGTCTCACCCGCTCCTTCTGTTGAAATCTCAGAAACCGCACGATGAATGGCCTTGTAGGCGCTCCGGACTTTGCTGGTTGTAACGAGTGATGAGCGCGTTCCAAATCTAGTCCCCCTTGGAAGTCAGCCTGGAGGATTGCGGGAAGAGTGACCCTCAAAAACGATATGGCATCTTTATCCTCAACACGTTCCGGGAACCCATAAATGTGTAGATTAACTTGCCTTTCCCAATCCTCGTACTTAGTTAATTTGGCGTTCAGTTTTTCAACATCCTAAGCCAAGGCCGGGGGGGAGACGCTAGACTCTAGCATATCGAAACGCACCTCCGCGCTGTTTATCCTGGTTAACATATCGGCTAGCTTACCCTCAATCGCCTCAACAGCTCTTCTCGTTTCTGAGACGTCCTTGCGGATATCTGCAAAGAGTTTAGTTTGCTCATCTGATAGTTTCTGAAGAAGTTTGTGTATTTTAGCAGTGGAGATAGCCACATCCGCATCTTCACGTGCTGGCGATTCCGGAGAAGGCGATTTGCTGTTGTTGGGTAGTATTTTCATTTTTTCGGGAGCTTGGCATATCAGCAATGGATTAAGCTTATTATAGGCAGAAAAAGCTATAGATTCACACTAAATGTAAACTTGTGGCATCGGACCCCTCTACCTAAGCAGCCATCTTGCTCGGCGTCATCACGTGACCTAAATACACAAAATATATTGAATAAATTTACCATATTAGTAACGGTTAATATTTTAATAATATTGAGTAAACAGTGCTGTGAGGGGTTTCCAGACCTGCTCCTGGAGGGCCAATGTCCAACAATTCAACTCCAATAAATACTTGCCTGGAAGTTTCTAGAAATCCAGAAGATCTTGATCTAAGACCAACCCTGGTCTAACCAACAATAGAAATTCACTGTATCGCTGTGCAAGTGACAAAGTTGCTGCCTGTGTGGATGAAGCTTAATTGACCTATAAAGACTGGATCGGTGCATCCCAACTTTAAATGCTTTGCTATTCTTAACAGTAATAGCATAATGTTGTGTTTATCATCTTTTACAGAAACGCTCCAAGCAGAGGAAGATGCAGCAGAAAGCTTTACGCAAGCGCCAGCTGAAGGAGCAGAGACAGGCTCGCAAAGAGAGACTGAGCGGCCTCTTCCTTAATGAGGAGGTCCTTTCACTTAAAGTCACAGAGGAGGAAGACCATTGTGATGATGTTGATGTATTGATGTGACGAGAGTGAATTATTCAGTGTTCCTTCTAAGCCTCTTTCAATGCAGCATTAATTACTCTGTTCTAGACATCTCTCGGCAACCAGGGGCCTGATGTATAAATGTTGCGTGCACAAAAAAAGGCGCTGAAATATGTGTACGTAATTTTCCCCGCTCATATCTGAATTTATAAAAAAATAAATTTAGTGTAAATATTTGCGTATGCATTGTTTTACTGGAGTGAGCGAAGTAAACAATGATTTTAAAAACTGTTTTCAGTTTTGATGCATTTTGTACACATTTCAATTAAATATTCCACTCATTAATGGAGTTAAGCACTCAAATTACATAGTCATTATCCAGAAATTAAACAAAAATTATGAATTTAGAAATATTTGAAGTGGATGTGTTGCTTTGAACTCTTTTCCTGTTGCATGCTACATTTTCATGTTTTAGTGACAGTGAAGAGTGCTAGGCGCTTGATAATTCTTCTTTAATCTAAATTCCATTACTCTTGTTCTGAGAAAATATTTCTCGTGAGAAAAATAATCAATGATGCACACTTTTGTTCACTGGTAGAGAGGTCCATTGGCTGGTCTGAATGGCTCTGATGACAACACTACAATCACTGCTGCACGCAGGTGTTCTGTTAATGAGCAGTTAGATGGTATCCTAATGATAACTCCTTCTGTGATCTTCCAAACATTGTGAAAGAAACTAAGATCTGCACGTTTTATAAAAAAAAAAAGTTTTGTCAGAGTCCAAAAAAGGCCAGTCTGTTTCCATTAAAAATATATAAACATTCTGAAACATATGTTTATCTTTTAAAGGGACAATTGCATTGATTGTATTGGTTTAAAACAACTAAAAAACTGTTTGGCCAATGATAAAGAAAGAGAATAGCTCTTCTCTAAAAAAAAACCTTCTCTGAAAAGTAAGCCTTATTTTATACAATTATATTATTTTATACAATTTGACTGCACATTTATAGTTTGAATCTCATAATTTCCTAATGTCTTGTACCGTTAAACATGGTATCACGTGGATAGGAATATGCACATGCCAATGATATGCAGATGACATTTCGTGGTGGAGGTGCATGTATGTCGTGTCTTCTGCTGACTGGGTTTTATAAAAGGAATTTTGTGCACACACTTAGAATGAAATCTACGCAAAGTTTTATACATGAGGCCCCAGATATTTAGTTGTAATAATAAAAGTGTCTCTGCAGTTATCCTAACAGTAAGTGCTGTCTGACCAACATCTCCAGTGACTGTTTATCATACATGTAAATGTAAGTTAATGTACATCTCATCAGTTTTCTGAAGTTAAATCATAGGTGCACACACTTACACGAAAATGGTTGAAAGAAAAGTTGTCCATGCAGTCCACAGACCCATAAAAGACTGCTGCCTCCTAAAGTTGTTTGTACTTGATGCATGTTACTAGTCAGTACCAGTGGCAACGAGTTTCATGATTCTTGGTACCACAGCAAAAATGTATGTGCTATTGAACACAATTAATTGTTTAAGCACACAGTTGCATCTGTTAAGTTTAATCTGTACTTGGTACAATTTTAGTCAACACATACTGTAAATGATAGGTATTTTTGTAATAGTTTGCCAGACTAGTGATGAAAGTTAAACCTTAGAGTCTGATAAATATGGAGGGCATTGAAAAAAAATATATATTTGGTTTAAATTTTTAAACCAAGTGTTTTGACTCTTGCCCAGAAGATAAAACATCCAGACATGTAACAGCACAGTTAAATGTGCATTGTACCTTACGAATTCAAGTTCTTAAATGCTGTTTAAAAACATTATAAGGACAGTGACAAATGTTTGAAAATATATTTCATCATGTTATACAACTACATCATTATGTACATCATTTATTGGGTAATTATTGCTTGTAGAAGTACATACAATATGAACTCAGGCATAGAGGGAACACTGACAAATTATGTCATTGCCTTCATTTTGTATCTACTTTAATTTTTTTGAAAGGTCATACAAATATGTTTTGGAACTTTTTGACATTTAAATTTCATATTAAAAACTAATAGAATACGATACCTGAAAAAATATTACTTTGCTCTCTTTTAGCCAAGTTGGGGAAAAGTAATATTTCCAACTTTTTATTGTAATTATATTTATGTAATCTGGGTTAAATATTGGAAGTGAGGGGACTACCTTTTAGTGTAAAAAAAAAAATACATTACATCTTGGAATTTGTTGAGGTTATGCTACCTTAAGGTTAGCATTAGTTTAGTAACAGAAGTTCATTTATTTTTAACCTTACAAATATGTTATTTATGCATTCTTTATCCATTTAAACATCCTTTTATTGCAAATGTGCAGAAAATAACAATGGGCAAAAATTAAGATTTTAATCTAAAAAAATGGATTAACCTAAAATATTTTTTCTTCGATCTTTCAAACATAAATGCACAGATACTCAAACAATGGGAAAATTCTGTTTAGTTGCAGTGTGTCTAATGACATACATTTTTAGAGAAGTCCATTTTGTTATTCTTTACTCTATTTGTAAGATTAGTACATAGATATTTTGATTTCTGACATAAATGTGTAAGATGAAGTTAGTATGACTTAACTGCTTTGCTGAAATGTCTGAATATTCTTAATTTCATCAAATAAAATCAAAGTATGACATGATTGAGGTGTGAAATATATTCCACATCATACTTGCTTTTGTGTCAATTATATATTTTCTTCACATGAATTTTCAGCATTTAAATCTATCTTTACAGTATTGTCTTGGCAGTTATGGAATTGTGCAGTCAAACATTAAGAATTAAACATAGTTTAGAGGGTTATTACTCTCTATAAATATATATCAATATTTATTTAGTCATTTGAAAGGCGTTTTGGCTAATGTGCAGGAAATCGGTTAACCATTTAGGAATTGTTCCTACTATGGAAGGTAATGCAGCCCTTTAATATTATTTAAACAAAACCAAATCCTCAAACTACATTCAGAGAGCTGTTTTGTTTCACATAACATTCACATGACTCTTCTGGCAAAATCAAACAATTGCCTCAAAATCATTTTATCTGAGCTCAAAATCAAATAATGCTGTCAGTCAGTCAAAATAATAACACCACATATCATTCCTTAGACACTACATCAAAAAAAAGGAGAATACAGCATCCAAAGCATGCAGTTACACAAAAAAATATTGTAACAGTAAACAAATTTTGCAGTTATGTAGTAATACATATAGTAATCGCAACTTACAGTGGTAAAGTGATTAAACTGAATGTTGTGTGCACTGCAAGTTTGTATTGAATATTATTGAGTGTCATTCTTGCTTGTAGCCAAAAAGTATTTTTTTTTTTAACTCTAAATGAAAAGTATGTTACAGTACACTCAAAAGAGCTGTGCAACTGCAAAATCAAAGTCAATGACTAAGATTCATTCAGCCTCAGTGTGATTTTTTTCGTCTTGGGCAATGTTGTCTCTGGTGTAATGGATCCAGCCTTGACAACACTGTCCACACCTTCATCTTTCTCATCCTCTTCCTCCTCATCCACCACCTCTAAAGCATACTCTTCTTCTCCTTTTCAGGTTGTTTCCATCTAATGATGTTTTATTAATATAATGAAAAGGATTATTATTGCCGCTTCCATATCAGCAAAATCAAAATCATTGTTTTGCTCATACTTATGTGTATTTAAATGTCTGAAACTTAAAATAAACATGTGGTTGAAAACACTCAATAGTTGTGATATATGACAGCACTGGCTCAGTGCCAGCCAACACGCGAAAGCACGTTTGAATATAAGTTGATAACGTATCCACAAGTTTCCGAGGGGCGCTCCTGTAAAAAATAAAGTGGGTGAAACTTCCGGTGAGGCGGCGGAAGTAGCATTCCAATGGTATTTTGTGTGTTAGTTAGCGAAGAGGCTAGCTGTTTTTCGGAGAATTATTTTACTATTTTAAGACGCAAATCTTTATGAGAGATGGTGTTAAGGAGCTCAGGGACAACATGTGCTGTTCGCGGTTGTATAACCGGATTAAACTAGTTCAGTGGCTTAAACGTGATTGTTTTGAACATAAGCCGAAAACGAAATCAGAGTGATCCTGCCAGAGCCCGTCTCTGATCCTGCCAACGACTGTAGTTTCCATCACCTCCCAAAAGACGACGGATCTTCCTGTGTACATTTGTTTAAATTCTTAATATTCTATAAACTCTCTCAGCATGTGATTGGCTGTTCGCTACTGATGTTACAGCTAAACTCAGGATCAAAGCCTGTGTTGACAGAATACCAAATGTGCCAGTTAATGTATTCAAGCAGCACATTCATTTATAATTTTGAATAAACTCCAAAGCACAATGACTAAGTGTGTATTTTTTTATTTTAATTGTTTGTCAGCTCGCACAACTGTGATTCACCATGCCTTGATGAGTATTGATTATTAAAAATGTTATTATAATACTACCAATCAACTACTGCGGAGGGTAAAGGTACTGTTATTCACCCTTTTGAATTTCGTTGAGGTTGTGTTCCCACATCGTTAGCTAGTTTGGATCGCTATAACTTGAATGACTGTCAACTGTTGAATGAACGAGTGTCAAGCATAGGTGCGTTCCATTCGACAGGGTCCCTGCGCAGTGTTCACTGCTCCCTACTCCCTGAACACGGTATATCAGTTGAATTGGACTTCACTGACTTCCCAACCCAGTCTCATCCCAAGACGTCATATAACTGACGTTTTGGGACGTCTTTTGACCATACGTCAATATTCGCCTTTTTAGGGCCCCCTTAAACGTCGGTAGATGAGGTTATGGGATCCTAACTCTACCCCATACCTAAACCTAACCCGTCACCTAACTGACGTTAAAGGTAAAGTTGTATGACGGCCCGGGATCGCCATCTACCGACGTTTAAGGGGGCCCTAAAAAGGCGGATATTGACGTATGGTCAAAATATGTCCCAAAACGTCAGTTATATGACTTTTTGGGATGAGACTGTGTTAGACTTCCTGTGAAGTGATGTATCGATGTTCCCTTATTCCCTATGCCGTTTGCAGTGCCCTTCGAACTGAACATGTTCGTTCCCTTGAATTGGAATCTCACTTAAGATGGCGAAATACCCTGTGAAGTCCACTTCACAGTCCACTTACGGTCGAATGGAACGCACCTCATGTCAAATCGCGCTTTGTTTACTTCCAACCGGAAGTCGCGCCCACTTTTGACGCAAGGTTTAATGGGGCGTTGGAAACTTGTGGATATAATAACGTATATAGTGGCTGCAGTGCAGATCAGTGTGTAGAAGACGACAGCAGCTGTCTTCTATGCTCTATCAAAAACTGATAAATTATAGTTTTTTTATTTAGAATATAAGCGATTTCAAAGGAAATGTTTACAGTTCATGTGTTTTTTTTTGTATGGAAAAATCCCACTTAAAAAAACAGACCGCCATTATATTTTTCCTCTCGCGCACCCCCTGGTGGCAGCTCGCGTACCTCTGGGGGTGCGCGCACCACAGTTTGGGAATCCCTGGCCTATGGTATGGTCAGCACGAACATAAATACTCTTATCTTGTTGAAATCTTGACGGATTTACAAACGGTTTGGTTTCTTACAAACGTTATTAACGTGACTATAATTATCTGGATGATTATTTATTTATACACTTATTATTCATATGTATGCTGTGTCATAACTACATCTCTGACGTTTATAACAAACCAACCCGTTTGAAAATCGGTAGAAAATTGAGCAAGTTATGGTTATTTAAAGGTGGCATATGTAATAATTGAGGTAAAAATATCAAAAAAATGAGCTACACTCATCAAAAGAATGAGAATAAATAAGTGCAATGATGTAATTAAAAAACTGACAAGTTATAGTGCTGCCGAGATATAAACCTAAACTAGCATGCTAAATGACTAGCCCCGGCCCGGTAGGTGTCGTAATACCAGTTCCGGCCATGGGAGGCGGTATGCGGCCGGGCAACATTACCACCAGCCAAACTGCAGTACACGAGTGAGTCGCGACTCGCGCTAGCGCCGGCTTGTGTGTGTACTTGAACCTGATGTCAGTCGTGTGGAAATACAGCCCATTACTACATTTCAGTTCAGGGAAGAGTTCAAAAAATGATTGGTTGACATTATGCATGAGGAATACATTTTGGTAAGTTGTAGCATACTGTATCTTTCAACAGTGTTCGGGTTCTTTTTCCATTAGCTAGTAGAGATGATCGGTTCACGTGCGCTAGGGATCTGTGGTGTAACATGTACAAGCGCCAAAACGGTATTTATTGTTTGAATTGCATAATAAAATTGACAGAATCTGAGAGCTTAACTAACCTGCTTGCTAAGTGTTAATTGCATGTGTCTCACGGTGAATTCGTGAGAGCTGGCAGCTCTGAATTTCGCTAGGTTGATCAACATCAGCGAATGCTGTCTGTCAAATTAATTCAAACTAACAATAAAAGTGTAATATGAACAAAACGAATACCGTAAACTTAAAATAATAGCCTGCAGGCTTTTATTTTCCCATATCGTCGAAATGCAACAGCTTGTTTTTGAGACAGGCGTCTATGAGTCGGTCTTCATCATTTAGTGTTGAGATTTAGTGTTGTTCATTTACTCTCTGATCTCTAAAAATCTCCAAATGCTCCACGTGAAACTGCGGTCTTCCGACCTTTTACTATCGTGTCAAATTATTTGAATAATATGCGGAGAAAGAGAGCAAAACAGCGCTCGTTTGTGTTGTTTGAAGACGTGAGTGCGTGCGGCAGCGGCACAACACATTTTCTGGAGGTATACTGCCCCCATCTGTTATGGAATATGGAATATTTTTTGATTTTTAGTTCCAGAAGGCACCTTTAAATAGTACATGTACCATTAACACAATGTTACAGAATATGAGAACAATTAAATAGCATGATGTTACACACTCCAGTACAGTAGGTGGCGGTATGCACTTCAAAGTTGGGTGCAATCCGCCTTTTTTCGAGAGAAGAAGATGAAGAACGTTACAAGTGAGCGAGCTGCCTGTGACAAGATGGCCGCCAGGTGCAGACGTCGACCTCCATTGGCCAGCAGCGTGGACGAGATATCTAGCCTTTGGATGATACTACTACGCCGAAGTGCTCCCAAGCACTTGCTGTGGTATTCCGCTATACATTATAGTTATCCACTTCACACGCTTAGAAAAGTGCAACGTTTTATTTTGTGTCACCATTCTTGGTCGAGTTACTCTACTCGTGTAACTGTATTTAAATAGGAAAACATGGAGGTGCAGGCACTGAGACGAGAGAGGTATCTATCAACTCGTCTTAGTTAATGGAATAACATAGTTTAATATGAAAAATCTGTGGAATATCCCTTTAAGGGCCATGGCAGAAGCTTAATTTTGTGCTTAGAGACCCACTTTTCTGTTGATTTTAATGTTTGTTTTTGGATCATTATTCTAATAGAAGATCCAACCTCTGCCCATTATACAATTTCTAGCAGAGGTTTTGATTTTTTTTTTCTGTTGGTATTTGATTGACCCCATGATGCCATGTAAATGAACAAGAAGTAGACCAGGATCTCTGGCAGAAAAATAGGCCCAAAATTTCACAGATCCAGCAGTACTTTTGATCCCTATGTGCACCAAACCCATTTGGTGGCCAAAAAACGTCTCTGGTTACTTACGTAAC